GCAAGACCGCTACCGAGGGAGGCAGCAGTGTTAGCAGCCTGCAGACCGCTGGCGAGGCCGCTGGAGGCAAGACCGCTACCGAGGGTGGCAGCAGTGTTGGCAGCCTGCAGACCGGAGGCCAGACCAGAAGAGGCAACCTGGGCGGGGAGGCTAGCCAGGCTGGAGATGCTTCCCAGTCCAAAGGAGACGGGGCTGGCCGAAGCCTGAAAGTATATGATTACACTTTTGTTAATGTTTAAAGGTTTGTCAGACTCGAGAGCTCCTCGGAGGTGCAGAAGTCGTGCTTACCACGGCGCACAGGGCGAGAAGGCACAGGAACTTAGCCATGGTTGTTTTCTGTTTGAGGACTGGGGAGCGTCTTGCTTCAGCACTGATACCGTGTTCCTTTTATACGCCAATACTGATGGATCTGATGCCGTCATAAGTTACCTAGTGGCGTGGGCATGGTGCATGGCAAGGCACGTCCATATGCAAACACAGGTGTTCGGGTTGCAATGCGGTAACGTATTTCTCTATGCGCAGTCTTTTTCAACGTCATTGCGGTAATTAAAAAGTGTAGTATTTATAAAATCTTCATGGCGCAGATGTCCTTCCTAAATGAAATGAAATGTGCCGCTAGGTTGTTGTCTCTGCGCTTGTCCTACGTTGTTCCGTGCCACGTACAATTTGTGCTGGTGTCTGCCAGACTGTGTAGCACAAATAGTAGCAGGTCTTACACACTAAACTCGTATGTGTTGTGTTGTGCATAAGACTTGGAGAGTTTTAAGCAGCCATATTAACGCACAACTGCCATTTCGCACAGCTATGTTCACTATGTAGACTTTTTGTGCGTTGTCTTGCACAATTTTCACATATAGTTTTGCACGATGTTTGGCAAGCTGGGTTCCCATGTGACACTTTTTGTTTTTTCGAACATATAGGCCACAATTGTTCAGATATTTAAACTTTCTAAGTCGGGATTGAAAGCGTGATTAACTGGCTATCAAATGATACCTAAGTCATATTTTTAGTACTACTCGTTTTCATACAGGAATACATTGGAAAAAAACCTTGCAGAGTCACATGGGACCCCGGCCCCGGGGTCCCATGAGACACGCTCAGGGACCCATGAAACACATGTAACTTTCATGGTAAAAGAGGTAAAGGGACAGCTAAATGCTTCAATAATACAACATAATAATTGCCAACTATTGGAGAACGGTGAAAATAAAACAAAACAAAAAATATTTGGCAAAATAACATGTAGGGAATTTATTTTGCTGTAACTACTCTGATAAACCAAGTGCGCAACTGCTTAAAACTTGTATGCAACTGCAAGTTGAATATTTGCAAATGTCTAGTTCTGTAGATTTACACTTGCAAGTAGTGTTCAACACGGTAGGTGTGCACTTGCATGTGTACAACTACTCTGTTGAACACTTTCTTAGAATGGACGCTCACTGTGTAGGTAGGAAGTGCTCAACAGAGGAGTTACACACTTGCAAGGGCACACCTACCCATTTAAACAATTGAAAGTGTAAAAACGACGAAGTTGCACACTTGCAAATATTTTACTTGCGGTTGCACACTTCCAAGTTTTGAGCAGTTGCACACTTAGTTTGTCAGTGGAGTCCGTTTATTCATGTTCTACAGCAATGCCATTTTTCATAGCGTTAAAAAGCATGGAGAACCTAAAGCCTTGCGATTCGTGGGCCTTAGTACATTTGAAATCCGTAAACAACGAAAATGGGGTGTCTCATGGGACCCCAGCTGCAAATGTCTCATGGGTCCCCAAGCTGCACATTTGTATTGAAAGTGGTGTAGAGTTTATATTTTGTGTGTGAGGATCGTGATTCGGGTTTCAAATTGAAGGGGGAGGACCACTTGACAACAACATGAGAAGTCCCGGCCCAAAAATGAAAATTTAATGGTGAAAAGCGAACGTGCCGTACTTAACATGAAATTGACTTAAGTCCAAAATATGGGCTTGCCCAACTTCATGTCGCTCTCACAGTCTCGATATTCACACCAGACCCTCCACCTTGCAGCCAATAACAACACGCCTGGTAGGGATGCCAACCAATTTTTTGTCAGCACCACCAACCGTTACTTTCTGAGATATCGCAAATGGGACCCCAAGTCTGTGGTAATTGGGCAGACTGTCGTAAGTCAGGTTACCCTCCTCCTTACCTCTCACCTTAGAATGGCAGGTGAGGAGTGAGGAAGAAGGTAACTTGACTTACGACAGTCTACCCAATTACCACAGACCCAAGTCTCATGGGACCCCAGCTTCCCTTATGCACAACGCAGTGCAGTTTGGTATGTTGTGAGTCAAAGACCAACGAGACGAGAAACCCGTTTTGTTCCGCGAAGTTATTTTCTCTGTACATTTCTTACATTCTTATCACGCCGAGTCTCCTCTCTAAACTATTTTTATTTCCACGAGGCTGCTAACCAGGAAAAATTAGTCTACAGGACTAAGAAATCGGGACAGAAAGTACCCTGGACGACCAGGCCACAAAGCTTTCTCATCGGCTTTTCGTACAGATCAAGTAGCTACAACAGTCCACGCCCACCCGGTGAAGGGTCTTAGAAGCTGGCCCTGCACCCAGATGCGTGGGAACACCGACGGTGGATACGGAACCTGGCCCCGCACCCGAGCGCGTGGCAACATCGACGGTCTGATCGACATTCCGAGTTCCGAGCATGAGAAAGAGGGAGTTAGTGGAGGGTGGGAGTCTGATTGCAGCCCGAGCGCAGCATTCGCGCAGTGGCGTACCGTCTGATAGAGACAGTCTTGGCTTGGGGACTGTCGAAAAATTACGGGAGCTCTACGCCTGCGAGATTCAGAATATGCCTCCCCGCAGTACATGCATGCACGGAAGGCGAGTTTCTGCCTACTTAATAGGCGCGATGAGAACTTGTCCGAACTGGTCAGGTTCGTTAGTAACGGTGAACGACAGACATACATGCGGGATTATTCCTAATGGCTCCGATCTTATAAGTAGCCCGCCGCAGCCCACCTTTGCCCGTCTATTCTTGAACATCGTGGTAAAACTACACAATACAAAAATCATTGTTATTACTGACATTTACTTGGCAACGTCGTTTTTAGTTTTGTTAAACAGTAATACACTTTTTGGTCCCAGTAGTTTCAAAACCCCTTCTTTGGTTTTGCGGGGCGCTATATTGTTTCGAAAGACATTTTAGCTTCTCGCCATTTCCCTCTCTCGAAGTCCTTCTTGCTCGCTCAGGTGCTTTTAAAGAAGAGATTTTTATATATATATCTTTTTATAAGTTCTCCAGGTTTGTTAACAATTAATGGACTGGTGGTGTTCTTAGAATATCATCTTAAAATATGCGATCGTAATTTTGAGGAATTCGGCTCAGGCATAAGAAAGGCAACAGCCATTGCAGCAGTGCAAAAATATTCAATTATGATACAAAGTGTGGAGAAAGTAGGAGTAACTTAAAATTGACCACCATTATTAGTATTTCAACATTTATTCATACAGATCAGATGACATGATCGCTGCTCCTCGGGGACGCGTTTAGGCGGAGACGGCGAGGCCGACGGAGGGCAGGGACACGGAGCCGGCGGCGGCGATGGGGATGGCAGCGGCGGTGCTGACGGCACCAGCTGCAGTGCGGCCGGCGTTGGCGGCGGTGTCGACGGCGGCGTTGGCGAGGTTAGCAGCGGTCCTGATGCCTCCCAGACCCATGTTGAGGGCGTTGCCGAACAGACCGGCGCCGACCTTGGCGGCGTTGGCGGCGATGCCAGCGCCAACCTGGGCGATGTTCTCAGCGGCGGCGATGCCGGTCTTGAGGATGCCCTGGCCGGCGGTGATGCCGGTCTTGGCGGCGAGGGCG